TATAGCTGCCAGCTGTATTGATACAAGACTGCATACACCCGCCATTAGCTACTAGGCATTCATTGACATCTAAAAATTTGTAAATTTTGACAAAATTAGTAGCACAGTGTATACCAGTGCAGTTGTGTTTGTCAGCATCCAGTGAGTAACCAGCATTACAAGAACACTGGTAACTACCAATCACATTAGCACATGAATCAAAGCAACCTCCATTGTTTAGAGCACACTCATTGATATCTAAAATTAATGACTAGCACCAATATTGAGCTATGTGCACCACTGACCTTGACAAGTATGATTATCACTGGACAAAGCAAAACCAGAATAGCAGTCACAATTATAACCCCCAACAGTATTTATACAAATTTGATTACAACTTGAAATTCCTTCAGAGCATTCATTAATATCTACAGTGTATAACATAAGTACACGAATTCTTTAAAGACATTACACAGTAAGCTTACCATCACAAGTTTTACTATTATTGGCTAGTCTATATCCTGACAAACATGAGCAAGAGTAAGAACTGTTAGAATTGTGACAGATTTGCTCACAAGCATCAATACCAGTTACACATTCATCATGATCTACATACACAATTGATGCAGTTAATAATGATTAAAAGTGTTTTATACCTGAACACCCATGAGCATCATCATCAAGAGTATATCCATTGTTACACTGACAATAATATGATCCAACTTGATTAACACACACTTGAGCACAACCTCCATTATTAGTGTCACATTCATTGATATCAGAACATGTTAGTCCATTTGATAATTGGTAGCCTGGTTCACAATCACAGACATAACTACCATTAGTGTTATAACAGTTGTGTTCACATAGATGAGTACCATTAGTACACTCATTAATATCTAAAATAATAATATCAAAGCTGCCAAAATTAAAAATTAAAAATCTGACCATCACAATCAATTCCATTGATATTTAATTGATATCCATTCCTACAGTTGCACTGATAGCTGCCAATAATATTAGTACACAACTGAGAACAACCACCATTACTCAAAAGGCATTCATTTGTATCTATTAAAAATGAACATAAAATATTTTCTGATGATATTAGCATATTACCAGTGCATGTTCTTTGATTGTCCATAAGATGATAACCAGTCATACAGTAACAAAGATAAGATCCATTAGTATTAGTGCAGTTCTGATTACAACCATGAGTACCATAAATACACTCATTAAAGTCTACGTTAAATGTAATGAATGGTTAAAATGATATATGGCAAACTATATATTAGCTTACCGTCACACATATGATTGTCAGGATTGAGCATGTAGCTGTTATTACATGCACAATAATAGCTACCAAATGTATTGATACACTGCTGCTCACACCCTCCATTGTTAGTACTGCATTCATTAATATCTACAAATAATAATGGACTCTATTAAAAGTGCATCTGAAGCATAATAATAACCTGTGCAATTGCTTTGTGCATCCAAATTAAAGCCAGTACCACAAAGGCAGTAATAACTTCCAGCAGTATTGTGACACGTCTGCTGACATCCTCCATTATTAACACTGCACTCATTAATATCTGTGAAGAACAAGCGTAATGACAGGATTTAATTTTAAAATACCTGAACAGAACTGTCCATTCAAGAGGGTATAGCCTGAATTACATGAGCAAGAATAATTTCCAACACTATTTGTACAGACTTGTTCACAACCACCATTATTTAAGCTACACTCGTTGATATCTGTTAATATTAACATTAGAATACTGAGTAAACATCAGATTAGCTGCAAACCTGAGCAATTATATTTATCAGCATTTAAACTGTATCCATCCCAGCATGAGCAATCATAAGATCCTGCTGTATTTTGACAGATTTGTGCACATCCTCCACTGGAATTATTACACTCATTAATATCTACACAGAGAAAATTATACAAATTTAAAATCTATAATGCAATAGAGCAATACCAATGCAAGTAAGACTATTGTTTAGGACATATCCAGACTGACAATCACAGTAATAGTTCCCAGCTGTATTTACGCATATCTGATTGCAACCATTAACTCCTAAACACTCATCAATATCTAAAAATGTGTAAAACAACTAAAAATTATTTTTGCATGCTGCACATACCTAGACATGTTTGATTATTAGATGACAAGTAGTATCCAGTGATACAATCACACTCATAGCTTCCAATAGTATTAATACACTTCTGACCACATCCTGATATTCCTTGTGAGCACTCATTAATATCTATAAAATTGGAAGAAAAAAATTGATTTTTTAGTCAATATTAATTGTACCTGAACAAAAGACACCATTTGTTAGCTGGAAGCCAGAATTACAAGTGCAGTAAAAGCTCCCATTGGTATTTGTACACAATTGCTCACAGCCACCATTATCAGTACTGCACTCATCAATATCTAAACAGAATTAATACAGTGTTATTCATTATAAATCTCTACCAACCTGTGCAATTCAATTCAATGGGGTCAAAGTTGTAACCAGTGCTGCAGTCACATGTGTAGCTTCCTGGAGTATTTGTACAGGTATAACTACAGCCACCATTATTAGTGAGACACTCATTGATATCTTTATGCATAAGTATAATAATGAAGAACAGCACTGTACATGTAGCTTACCTGTACAGTTATGCCCATCATCTTCTAAAGCATAACCTGAATCACAAGAACAGATATAGCTACCAACAGTATTAGAACATATGCTGCTGCATTGACCATTATCGATGCTACACTCATTAAAATCTAACAAAGTATACAAAATTTGACGTGTATCCTTTTCAAAAATATTAATTTACCAGTGCATGTGTACCCATCACTACTCAATGTGTAACCAGCTGTACAACTGCAAGTATAGCTTCCATTAGTGTTCACACAATTTTGATTGCAACTGCTTAATCCCTCAGTGCACTCATTAATATCTAATTCAGTAAATTACAACCTGTTTATAATTGCAACAATGTCTGACCTATACATGTGTGGCTGTCATTACTCAGTTGATATCCAGCATTGCAACTACACTTGTAACTGCCAATAGTGTTAGTACATACTTGAGAACATCCTGATATTCCCTGCTGACATTCATCAGTATCTAAAATCACAATAAACATTATACCTTCTATTTTTAATAATAATTATTCTTACCTTGACAAGTAACACCAGCTATATAGTAAGAGTAGCAATATCTTAAGTAATATGAATTCATGTAACAGTCCAGAATTTTAGTTTCAGAGCCATAGCAGTTAAGAAATCCATAAACAAATGACGAGTCTTCAGGAGCATTAAAGTAATTATATCCATACGCCACAGATCCTATACAGATGTATATAATCACTGTTATGTCATATAAAATGTTACCATAAGAATTATATCCTAGTTGCCTACAAAGTATATTAGCTTCAGTAGTACCCCAATACCATCCACTACACAAATATGTCCAGGCATTGTTGTAACAAATCTGCACACTTCCTTGATTCTCTGTTTGTCCTCCTACTAGTCTTACATCACCATCAGTACAGTTCACATACTGAGTTGTTATGGCTATAAGAGGAAGCATAATGATAATTATTAACTATTAAATTTATTATGATATCTTACACTGGCATTTCAGGGTAGCTTGTGTTGATTGAGTACAACTAGATCCAACTGTATTGGTCACAGAATATGAGCAATCCCAAATACTAGTTTCGTTTCCATTACAATATACATTATAAAGTCCAAGTGGCCAAAAGCTCTGAGTGGATTGATAGGTACTAGCAAATGCACCTTAAAGCAGCAATCACTGACACTACATTACTTTCATATAACTAACCATAAGGTGAATAGCCCAACTGAGAGCAGGCTACACTGGCTTCTGTTTTTGTCCAGTGATTGCTACATATTGTATTCCAGGTATTGTTCCTACATACTTCTACTGCTCCAAGATGAGTGTACGAATAGTACGGGTCCGTGTCAATCCTGATGCTTCCATTGTTACAAGGCCCTAAATATACATGTACTTAATATAAAGTTGTAATGAAATATACTTTCACAAATAACTCCAGCATCAGGAGAAGTGCATCCTGATACATAGCAAGATTGATGATTACAATCAAGCAGTGATGCCTCATCTCCATTACAGTATAAATACGACATAAGAATAGGACCAGCTCCTGAACTGATAGACTTTATTTCTCCCCCAATGTATCTACATAAATGAAATTGGCTCAATAAGTAAATTGTATTTTATATCATTATTTTACCCTAACTGCTTGCATGCTACAAACGCATCTTGAACACTCCAGCTAGAAGAGCAGATGCTTCCCCAAGCCTGATTGATACATATTTCAACTCTACCATCATCTTCTGTGCTACCATCAACCAGTCTCACTTGACCATTAGTGCAGTTAGCTTGATAAGCAGTTCCTTTAACAATATATAACAATAATTGATGATGCTATAATAAGCTTACTTTGACATACAACACTGGCGTCATTGTGAGACTGACAGTTGTGTAATGCAGCATTACTGTAAGAACAATTAAGGAATTGATCTTCACTGCCAGTACAATTGAGGTCAGTGATTCCAAATGATAGCTGGTACTCAGTATAACAGTTATGTTCAGGTAAAGCACCTAGAAATAAAGTCACAATTTACATTTAAAATATAATAAATTAACCATATATAGAGAATCCCAACTGTCTGCAGATGACTTGTGCATCTTTGAGATCCCAGCTTTGATCACATAGTGTAGTCCATGTATTCTCAATACACAATTCAACTCTACCAACATTAGTAGCATCAGTATAAGTATTAACAAGCCTCACTGCACCATGCTCACATTCTGCTGTGCCTATTAATAATAAAATAACTCATTTTAGATCATTGTAATATTGAAATTCTAACCCAAACAAACAGCACCAGCTACACTACCATCACCACAATATTGAGCAGCTGAAATAAAACTATCACTACTCCTGCTACAACTTAGCAGAGATGACTCAGATCCACCACAATAGAGATTTGAGATAATATGAGAATCTGGTCCATTTCCAAAATAGCTATACTGATATGCAGTAGAACCTATTATGAGAAATTATACTACAGAATTTAATACTTTAAAATACCAGTAGATTGATATCCAAGTTGTTTACAGACTACATTAGCATCAGATGTACTCCATGAATTATGACAGACTTGCCCCCAGAAATTATTATAACACATTTCAACACGTCCTTCAGCATCATTGATACCACCAATCAAACGTACATCACCATCAGAACAATTATAACTGACACTAGTAGTAGCATTATCTTTAATAGAGTATAATAGATTAATCCATTGTAACACAAGGATTTACATACTTTGACAGATTACTGCTGCATCATAGTATCTACTGCAGGAGTAGGAGCCTTGTTCAATGTAAGAACAGTCCAAAATTGCTTCTTCAGTACCAGTGCAGTTAAGATCAAAAAT